TTATTTTAATTGTTTTAAGTTTGAAAACATGAAGTTACTATTTTGCCCCTAGTAAAATTGGTTAGAATTTGGTCAAAATTAAAATTTTTGGTCAACTAATGACAACTTGGATTGAATTTGTTCATTTGGGCTTCAACTGCATACATTTGAAAGGTTTGAGTGTCAGGTGCACATTTTCTCATTTTCTTGGTGTTTATAACTTGGGGACTCGGAAAGAAGATGGATTTCATTTTTTATTTTAATTGTTTTAAGTTCGAAAATAGAAAGTTACTATTTTGCCCCTAGTAAAATTGGTTAGAATTTGGTCCAAATTATAATTTTTGGTCAACTAATGACAATTTGAATTGAATTTGTTCATTTGTGCTTCAACTGCATACGTTTGAAAGGTTTGAACGTCAGCTGCAATAAATAAAAGGATGGAAAAAAATCCTGTAATGTTTTGAAAAGTTAGAGGGGGCACTTTGATCCAAATTTTCTGTCCTACACGTTCCCTACTTAACACCAATTCTTTATGGACTAGGTTATTATTGCCGATATATACTATTAAGCATATCAAATCAAAATAGAATTTCAATCAAATTTTATCAAAATGGGATTACTACAAGTGGTTGTAACACTTTCATATGTCAAAGGGAAAGAAAAAAAAGTAATAAAATATTATAAAATGAAAAATTGAATATCGTAATAGGACCTTTATATATATATATATTTCTCGAGGTACTTTCTTACGAAGTTTCTAATAACATCTATAACCTTCTCTTGTTTAGATGGACAATCTAACAAATAAACATCTACATACTTGATTTTGGTCGTAGCTTGCTACGTAATAAAGGCCAGTGGTAATCAATCATAGGTTAGTACTGTAATATTTCAATGTAATGAAGAAACCAAGCTGTTGTTGCCTAATTAGCTATTATTAGAGTACCGTGGCTTTTTAGTCAAATAGTGGGGATTAACGTTCAAATGAAAATAAGGAAATAAATGTTTAAGTTTCGTTGAAAACACCGACAGAAATGTCATATAGCTTAGTTCAAGTATGATTATTAGTAACTTTTAGGAAAATAGAGGTAGGATCATGAAATGTATTGATAAGAATTAGTAATTTTAAGCCCATGTTTGATGTGGATTAAAATCAGATTTTTAGTAGATTTTGATGGAAGTTGATGAATTGTGTGGTTGAAAAGTTATAAAACCTATAAAATATGTGATTAAAAATGAATTGTTGACTTTAAGTTAGATTAAAATCTATATTTTAATTGATACCAAATAAGGGTTAAATGTGTTGTTGAAATTAAAGTTTGACTTTAAAGTAGTAACTTTTTACGAATTGATGATGTATGTAGACCAATGGTGAATTCAGGATCGAATGTTAGCTAGGACAGACGTCAACCATTGACCGTCGATTCAACTATTGTAATAACGATGTCATCTATTAATATTTAATTAAATAATATTAAAAATCCATATGAAAATATAATTCAATACACCCAAAATATAAAAAAAAAAAAAAAAAGAACACGATACAATCTTATTCTACAAATGTAAACTTAGATAACTGGATTCTACGAACTCTCATATTTTGAAAATGCTGCAGTATTGCCTTATTCTCAACTTTCTTAGAAATCTCTTACTCCACATAAACCACCAAATTGTCAACCAAGCGTCTTTCATTTTGTTGCGTAAGTCACTCTTGATTAAATTCATAGCAGAGAAGACCCTTTCAGTACTTATAATTCATAGCAGAGAATACCCTTTCAGTACTTATAGTTACCACATATAATATTAAAACCAAGGTGATCAGCCTATAAGCCAATAAAAAATAACAAGGATTTCTTACTTCAACCAACTTCTGAGCTACATAAGATATGCTATTGAGATTAAATAAAGCTTTGTCCATTCTAACAAGCATAAGAAACTTGTCAAGTTGACAATGACCTTTCTCTAAGTATGCTATCCTAATATCGTCTCTAATATTAGGATCATATGACTCGATATGGAACGTTTTCCTGGATCATATATAAGATCATGCACAGTGAATTGAGCCCGAGACTTGTTTGTGCTGTTTAACAACTCGTGTGTTTGACTAAAAGTAGTGGTGGGACTAGATGCACCACCGAAACTAGAAGAATTAGGTATGAACTTTAGTTTCGGTTGAAAAAATCATTCCATAATTTTCAAAATGCCCCAATTTATTTTTCAATTATAATTGATTAAAATACAAAGTACGCATGGTTGAATTGAGCCCAACATCTTCTCCATAAATTTTTCACTTATCCCTAATTTCCTGAACCTAAATTTCCGAATCAAAAATCATAAATGATAAATTAACTAATAACTCATATAATATAAATTATTTATCATAAATTTACAATTCTCATTTCTTTGTCAATTAAGCCCCTGTTTGATCCCCATTAAATTACATTCCATTACATTCTATTTTTCTCTCTCCTCTTTTCAACCACACAATCTTCTATAAAATAATATTAAACGTAAATCGAAAAAATTTCCATCTTTTTCAACCACTCATTTTTTCAACAAAACACTATTCCCCCCATTTTCATTACCAAAAAATGGGGGCCAAACGGAGGCTAAATCAATTCATAATCATAAAACATGAATTATAAATTCACAACTCATAAATAATAAATAAAAAAAGGATTATGTGATTGCGCGAATACAGATGACAGAAGTCCCAAAACATAGAACAAAAACTAAAAAAAAAAAAAAGGATAGAGAACGATAGCCGACAAGGGAAAAAGGCGCTCACCAAGAAGTCGGTCCACCACCACTCTACCACACCACAACAGACTCAACAGTCAACAACCACAAGATGTTCGACCTCGTCACTCACTTGACGCTCGCTCATCGACCGTCGATATAGACCGCGACGTGCGTATTGCTTCTTCTCGTCTCCACCACTGCTTTCACTTCCTTTCATTTTGGATTGGTCATTTGGTTTTGGTGGACTTGCAAGCAATGGAAATATATCCATGGTCTAGTCCAACCGTCCAGGGATTGGGGTCATTCATTGGGCCTTATTTTTTTAATAGAAGCCCCATCTCTCTACAGCCCAAAAAGGGGAAAAACTAATAAATAAATAAATTTAGGCCCAATCAAAACTGACAGACAGTGCAGCAGTCATCTTCTTCACTTCTCTCATTTCTTCCACCGCAACTGGTGCTCAACAACTGACTACTGAAAGTTCCGACGGAGCCCAGCATGCCAAGTCGCGCCCCCTCGCCAGATGCTAGCTCCACCATTGTACTAGACACATGCTTACTCTCTTTTCTTACTCTCAAATAGATTTTTAAAAAAAATGGTCTGAGAGACTTCCAAAGGGTTAAATTCACCAACGACTACACAACTTCTTACTTAATGAATACTAGCTACTTAATTTGATTTTGTTTCGTCATGGTCACCTAACTACATACATAATTTCAATCAAGCGGCCCTGTAACTTTATTTAATATAATCAAATTGGGTGACCAATATGATACTAAGTATGAAGTTCGATGGTTATGGTGAAATAAAATCAAATTGTATTGCCAATGTAACAGTAAATACGAAGTTAGTGACCATGATAAAATCAAATTAAATTGGGTGGTCAATGAGACACTAATCGTAAAGTTGAGTGACCATTGATAGAATTAACCCGTCTTCCAAATGAAAAAATAAAAGAGTTTTTTACATGGGTAAATTCCTTCATATCGCAATGGTGTGACTGTGTGGATATTAAAGGTAGTAGTCTTGTGACCAACTTGAAGTTCACTCTATTCTTAATGTAACATATATTTTTCCTAATTCCTTGTCTCGATAAATTTGAGGAAATAATTCATCACTATCAATCCGAGGAAGACGTACAAAGTTTTTTTTGGTTGAATCGACCAATGAATAAGTAGTTTATGACTTAATTGAAATAACTTTTAAAGTTCGGTGACCGTTTATGTTCTCTCAAATTATTCATATATGTTAGGGATTTATTTGTAATAATTTTGTGAAGAAAGGGGAAAAAACGACTACTGTTAATTTATTTTCATAGACTCTTACAATAAAAATTAGATTACTGTTATGACGTCCATCTTCATCTTCTGTACTCTTCTCAACAGTGTAACTATTGAGCAGGAAAGAGACGAGCAGCAGTCATGTCAGATCTTGACGATATCGACCTTGACCCAGAAGACTTCAAGTCCTCAATCCCACTCAAGAAGGTCCCATACGGTGACGTTTTCGAGGCCTCCCGTGCCGGCGATGTCGACCGCCTCCGTTACCTGCTCGATTCTGGGGTGAACGTCAACGCTCGTGACCAATGGGATTCCGTTGCTTTGTATTATGCCTGCTTGGCGGGCCATTTAGATGCCGCCCGAATGCTTCTAGAGAGCGGTGCTATCTGCTCCGAGCACACTTTCGATGGGGACCGCTGCCACTACGCCGCCCTCAATTTGAAAGTGCGGAAATTGCTCAAGGCATTTGAGGCTCGACCGCCGCCTCTCGGACCCTTGCAGGCCTCCTTGAGGGACACCTTCTTGGCCTGCAAAGCGAATTCGTCTTACTTGGATCAATTGAATGCCCAATTGCCAACTTCTCTTTTTTCAGGTTTTTGATTTTTGTGTTTTTACTCTATGTAGTCCATTCTAATTATTTTTTTAATTTTTTTTTCGGTTGAGCGTGATAGTTCCATGTTGCTGTTTTCCCACCCTTCCATAATGTTAGTCACTCTAACTACATGGATAGAAATGAAAACTCAATGCTTTACAAGTGTTGGATTACAATGCTTGCTTGGTATCAAAATAGATTGTGATAGGAGTTATTACTTTGTGAAGAGACAATCACATTGAGATTGTGTGGAGCATGCTTAAAACATATAGGAAGGTTAGCTTTAAATTTATGCTGTACTCTTGTCTGTGCAATATCTCCATTTGGTAGATGGGCATGATGATAATTTTTTTTCGTAAAACTAGCATACTGTATTGCAAGAACAATTTTGAACTTGAAGTTACTTATTAATGTAAAACAAATTTCTCATACTTTTTGTCTTGCTGCTGTTGGTCAATGCATTGTGTTGATAACAGATTTTGGTTTGGTCTAGTTTCTAGTTTGGCATCTGCAGTTTCTCTGTCATGAGGGCTTGAATTTGATGACTATAGATATTTTGGAAACAAAAGCACCAAGGTTTATAAAACAGTGGAGATTATAATTGTGATGATACTCTAGATGCATTGGCCACAGCACACACACACTTGACCATGTCCTTCTCATAAGTTTCATTTATATGCTGGAATGGTTATGTGATTATGAAACTTCGAATGGTAGGTAATTCATTCAATGGAGGGTTGAGTTCCAACCACTTTCCCCCTGATGTTGTGTTTTATGTTCAAGGAAGACCCATTGAAGCTCATAGAGTCATCTTGAGCGCTCGCTCACCATTCTTCAAGGCTAAATTTGAGACTGACTGGAAGGAAAAAAAGGAAGTCAGATTCTCAAGAGAAAAGCTGTCATATCCATCTCTTTATAGCCTTATCCACTTCTTCTATTCTGACAGGCTAGAAGTTTCTGTGGATGACATGGAAGATCTTGTAAAAATTTGCAGAGTTTGCAAGTGCCAGTCATTACAGACACTTATCGAGAAAGAATTGATTCATCAAAAGTATGCAGAGTACAAAGCCCTCAAAGAAATAGACAATTCTCAGAAGCGATTTATCTTGCAGGGCTTTTCCCTTCCAGAGCAAGACCGTCTTCCTGCAGCAATGTTACGGATCCTTCAAATCTCTCTTGCCAATTCCTCCAGAGGACAAAACCTAGAGAATAGTGTTGATAATTTAGTATCCCTTGTTGGGAGTGGTTTTCAAGATGATCTTGCAGATGTTTGTGTGAGGGTTGATAAGAGGATATTTCGTTGCCATCAAGTTGTTTTAGCATCAAGATCTGAATACTTCAAAGCGAGATTATCCCATATGAATGATTTTCTTGAAGGGAGCGATCTGCTACTTGACTATACTCTTCCATGTCTTGAAGAAAATGATCTTAGCATGAAGGCTTTTGAGAAAATGATAGAGTATATGTAAGCATTCCTTTCTTTCTTTCATTCTTTTCATCTGTCTTTCTTCTTTTATAAACTAGCTCTAAACTGGTGCCTGCACAATGATGCTATATGAGTTCTAGTTTCTATGGTATCTATGCCCAACTTCATGTGATTGATAAGAGTTGCGAACTGTTGAAAACCTGAAGCACAGGCAGGAGTAACGATTCACAGCTATCTTGGATTGATCCTGAAATCATACAGAATAGAATAATACAGGACTAAATTTGCTTTATTGACTATTAGCTTGACTTACAAATTATCCATGCATTGGCAGCTTCAAAACAATAATAACTCAAATTTCATAGTGAACACCCCCCACCCCCCGGTCAATTCAGAACAGAGGATGCAACAATAATAATCTCTAATGTTCATAATATAGCTCCCTAATAAGAAAGGAAAATTGAATAATGTATCTGCAACCCAGTTCAATCAGAATGCAATATATACTGGTCCTAAACTAAAAATCATTAGATTCTACATGTTTCAAATACAAAAGGATGCAGATTACATGTTTATACTGAGTCTTGTTTTATTATCATTGAAGCATTTCGTAAAAGCCTGAAGCTTTTGTATCTCGGGTTTCATACATATGTTTCTTCATTGTGGAGCCTGCCATGCCTGATATGAACCAAGTAAGTTGTTATGCATTGAAAAGATAGGGATTGACTGCTTAGTGTATATATATAAAGATAGAAACATAGATAATCAGATGTGATTCAAATCATAAGTTACGCAATCAAATGCTGAAACTATTGAATTCCAGAAAATTAGTTAAAATAACATCTGATTAATTAAGCAGAAATATTTGAAAAGGCAAATGAAGACAATTTGCAATTTCAAATCCACATGCTACGAAGATTTCAATGATAGATAAAGATTCAATTAGCTTTTAGGTAAACTTGGCTATTATACTATATTTAGGAAGTGCCTTGTTTCGTAAAAGGGTCTAACAGAGAATAGCCAAACTGATTATGTAGCTTTGAATATAAGAACACTAACCTAACCAAGTAAACTAACCTTGGAGACAAAGCTTGTGAATGCACGATATGGAATTGGAAGGTATGGACTCAGACTTGGGAGTACGAGTTTGTAGAGAGAAAAATGCACTTTGAGGATTGATCGTCTTTGTGCACACCAATAGATGACTTTTTGAGCAAAACCATAATGATGAGTGGCTGGCTTTTGCACATCATTGAAGAAGAAATGTTGCATATGAGTAGCTTCCTAACACCATGAAAATCGGGGGGGAAAAAAAAGCATTGTGAAAACAATGTACTGCAAAAAGAACATATTTGAAGTAGCCACCGTGCAGGCTTTCATAGACATGGAGATAATTTTATTATCTTGCCCATTTTCAAACATGTATAATATTGATAAAGAGACAAAATTAGGTGGAAAAATGGGGATGTTTTAGTGGACAAATTAGAATCATGCTGGAAATTTGAAGTACTTAAAATAAGGGAAAATATTGGAGTTAAAATCGCCAACATCTAATACATTCTTTGAAATTCAAAAGACTAAAAGTTGTAGGAATATAATCAATGTTTTCAAATGAGCATGAGGCTTATGTCTTGAGGCATGCCGCGGGTTGACTAGGAGCCAAAAGTATACGCATCGGGTGGCCTTTGTCAAAAGTTATACTTTCACTTATTGAGATGCACGCCTCATGGCATAAGCCTCTGAGAGTGTGCACGCCTTACTCTTGCCTTTTTGGGCTCTTTTTTACCCATCTCAGCTTTTTGGGTTGTTTTTTTACACGACTTCCAATATTTCATTTTGTAACAGTAAGTTTCTGGAGAGAAATTATAGAGGCAAAATATAGTGTTATGGAGGGGGAGGTGCTCAGTCGTGGGCTGTAGTTCTTATGGGGTGAGTTTGTTGCGATATATCCAACGAAGGTGGAGAGACTTTTGGGATAGATTGACATTTGTAGTGGGGAATGATAATACTATCAATTTCTGGGATGATTGTTGGTGTGGAAATTGACTGCTAAGGGTGGAATTTTCTTCTTTGCATCGTATTGCTGTGGTGCCGTCTACTATGGTGAATTAGATATACATAATGGGAGCCTTAGCTTGAACATTGTTTTTAGGAGGGGCTTACAGGTCTAGGAATTGGATGATTATGTGTTGCTTTTGAACTATTTGTATAAGGTGCACATCAGGATATGAGAGGGTGATTGTAGTTGGCAGATGTTGACATGGGATGGTGTTTTCTCAGTCGGCACTTATTTTAGATCCTTCTTAGGACCTATGGACGATTGTGATGGGTAGGTGTTAACGGTAGATAACCTTCGAATAAGGAATTTTTATGTTACAAGTTGGTGTTAAATGTGTAGGAGAAATGGAGAGACGATTGACCACTTGTTCCTTCATTGTGATGTTCTTGTTTGTTGTGGAACAATACTTTGATTTCTCAATACATGGATTGGGTGTTGCATCGACGTATAGAGAATGTGTTAAAGGCATGGAGGAAAAAGTTCCGTAATAAGGATAGTAAGCATGTTTGGGACCTTATTTCGGACTTCATCGTATGGTGTGTGTGGAAGGAGGGAAACGGTCGCTATTTTGATGATCATACACGAACAACAAAGCAAATTAGGGAATTGCTCTTTTTGACATTACATATTTGGTTTAATGCTGCGGCTACTATTCGTATAGACAGGTTGCCCAATTTTAATTTCTTTCTTGTTTAAATTGATAATACATTTTCTGTGTGTTATTCTTGATTAATAAATTTTTTTATTACCTATTCAAAAAAAAACAGTAAAGGCAGAAAACTTCAATAGTGATAATGGACAATGAAATGCATAATCATCAATGACAATAAACCAATAGGGTTCAACATTTCCAATTTTCCACCCTTGTCATAACTTCATATATAAATATATGTATCCTCTAGTTAATATAACTGTGTTCACCTTTAAGGTCAAGGGAGATTCGTGATGTACAGCGTAAATATCAATTAAATGTGCAAGTAACCGTTCATAATCTTGCAATGACATGAATTAGACATGCACACATAATTCATGATGACCATGGACAGCTCAGTATAAAAAGGCTACGACATCAGTAGTATAGTCTCAAAATATAGCTGATGTTCCCTTTACTCTTTCAGAAAGACTTGGCTGATTGAGACCACTCCCTGAAGTTTTAGCTGTTTAATTTTTGAGTTATAGTCTGGGAGAGCGGGGTTCCCATTTTGGACAAAGATCTGGTTGGCTGTGCTTATCAATCTGCCACACTTGTTGTGTCAAACATAATTTTCAATGTTATTCTCTTTCTTTTTTTTTCTTTTTCTTTTTTTTACTAAAGCTAAAAATTAACTTTTAAGCATAGCCAAACATGCTATGCTGATTTCTGACTTTGACAATTTAAAGCCAGAGATATTGGAAGAAAAATTACTCAGAATTGAATGAGAATGACAAGGTAATGTAAGCCGGTAATTGATGCTCATAATGAACACCAACAAAGAAGTAAGAAATCTTTTAACAATACCAATTAAATTTTGGAAATATGACTATATTTCCAATGGCTCCGAAGTCCTCCTTTTCCCTCCCAAATAATCTAATTCTAGATTCTATATTAATAAGATATTTGTTGATCCAGGTATACTGATAGTTTGAAGGACATAGACCCTGATCAGGTATATTCATCCCCTCCCCCATTCAAAAGAGGGAAAAGGGTTTCTTAATGATAATTTGTTTATCTTCTTCTTCTTCTTCTTGACACAGGCTGAAGAAATGTTTGATGCTTCTTCAAGATACCTCTTATTCCCTCTTAAACGTGCAGTAGCTGATGCCCTGCTACCTCATCTGGAAATGGTTCCTCCAGCAGAATTGTGCCATTGGTTGATATTATCCGACATGTATGTTATCTTCTTTTTGTCTGATTGGTTTCACCATTATCGCTGGATGTTACATTTTTCATAATTTGAGATTTAAGTAACATTTTTGTTTTCTTTTTACAAACATTACTCCTGTCGTAGGCTCATATACCTTATAAATGTTCAACTATAAAAGACCTCTACAGTGACTAATAGATATGAAACAAATTATCCAGGGATTTATTTGATGATTGCAGGCTATAAACCATTAGAAAAATAATATAATTCACACTGTAGAGTACTAATTTATATGTGAAACATTATAGGATTGTCCAAATGCTTACAACTAACTCTACGAGACAGGCCTTCATATGCAAATAGGCATTATCCATTTTAGCCTCACTTGTAAACTCACTAAAGCATGATCCTGTTGTTTCCTATTAAACCTGTAATGTTGCCCAGTGTTTTATATCAGCACGTACTTCACACTATATTTTTTCCTTTCCCTCATTTCTGTCATTTTATCCCCAAGCCTCAGTTGTCCTATTTTCTGTGAAATTCCTTGGTAGCTGAATGACATGGTAGTTTTGACATTTTCTTTAGCTCTTCTAAACGCAAAATTTTTATTACTTGAAAGACATCATTGAACCTTTCATTAGATGTAGGCTAAATCGAAAGGAGTGGCAGAGAAGGATTCATATAATTGCCTTAGTTATTAGCAATAGGACTTAGCTTGTTTTTGTTGTTGGAAGAAAGATTTTTTTTATTCGTGACTATCATATTAGTATACTTGTCAATTTGACATAATAATGCCTCAAGTCTTGCACAACATTGATTATCAGACGTGGTTTTCGAGGTCAATTCATAATTTCAGTCAAGCTTGGCCCTGAGTATTATTTTTCCAAAGCTTGATAGCCTTGCACAATCCTTGTGAACCTTTTCATATTTTTTCCTTCCCTTTACCTTGACATTTGTCTGAGAATGTGCAAGGCCTAGCTGAAAGCTTTTCTTGTCCCTTGAGTCTATCTTATCTGCTGTAGGCTATTAATGGTATGATGCATAGGTGAAAATATTCTTGTGCATTCCTTATTCATATAGTCCTTGTGTAGCAGTCCTGGTTTACAAACTCTTCTGGAAACTTTCATATGAGTGGAGTAAAATCCTGACAATCAAGAAAAGAATCTGTGTCTTTTACTTGAACTTGTTAACCCTGGAAGTATAGGTTTAAAGGATATTGATATGTAGTATTCCTGTTGGTGAAAGGGCTTTTAAACTTCAATAATATCGGGATATATAATACTCTTGAGCACTGACAGTGACTATAGCTCTCTCGAATTAACCTCATGTTTAATCCATGTTAATCCAGTGGTGATGGACGAGAATAATATTATCCGGTGCTCTTGGTAAACTGGGGACTGAGAAGTAGAACCGTGCATTTACATTTACATGCATACTTCTTTATTTAGAAGTAAATAATAATTTTATAGATTTGCAATAAAAGAAGATTTGAGGGTCTGAGTTGTTTTGCATTTCCATTCATGAATCTTTGATTTGTCTATATGCAAGGTGAATTGACCAGTATTGGGGAAAAAATAGTTGGCAAGCCGAGAAAGTTTTATATTTGCTTGAAATTGTCTATGTTTTGGCATTCCAAAAGTATTTTATTGCAATTGCAGGTATGGTGTTTCGAAGATTCGGGAATATTGTCTAGATGCAATGGCTTGCAACTTCGAGACATTCGCTGAAACTCCAGAGTTTCGGGCAATGCTTTTGACCCTGCCACCACCATCTGGAGATTCGTCTCTTCGAACAACAGCTCCAAGCGCTCCAGGAGCTGAGGTGAATTCAGCAGCAGAAAATCTCCTCGATGATTTACGAGAAAAATGGCTCGAGGCTGAAGCTGCCGAACTCGACAAGAGAGATGAAAGTGCCCTACTTTTCGACAGGCGTCTTGAGATGCTTATGCTTGTAGCAGAGCAAGAGAAATCTGATGATGCTTTTCAATGTTCCCTTTCTGCATCTTCAGTTGTCATGCAAGAATGAATAGGTTTTTTTGTTTCAATATATATTAAATTATATTTTTATTTTTTTTGATCGTAAATTATATTTTTATTGATTCTACACATTTTGTAGTCAGCTTAAACACAAAGAAAAAGAAGTGCTTCTGTTTAGGTGCATTGATTTTGTCGAAATAAAATTAAAAATTTGTAAATCTATTGGTGATGGAGAAGAACATTTTTTTTTTTTTTTACAGTCATTGTATTAGCATGATCACGTCTGATAACTAGAATGGATCCATCCACGGCACCTAAATGGATTCCCAACCAATTACAGCACCGAGTCCTTTCATACGGTTTCCAATGGCTGCTCGGATTTTTCGTGAGGTGGGATGGGATTAATATACCGAGCATGTTTGATATTACTTCATCAATTGTCTTCTCTGTCCATCGATTTCCCCAAGTCTCTTCCTCGGCTCCTCTTCCCATCGTGGGATTCACTCACAGAAAGGATTGAATCAAAAAGAATAATCGACAAAAATTTCAATTTATAATTTTTCTTTAAGAAACAGCGCAATTTTTTTCAATTACCCAATATGCATCCAAAAGACTCTGTATGAACCAGGGGCGGGTTCCGCGACCTTCAGGATCATTTTCTATAGGTTTTCATTAAAAAAAATAATAATAATAAAAAATAAAAAATGTATTAGTTTGTGGCTGCAAGTAACGTGCTATTATTTCTCCTTTTTTTTTTAAATTTATTTTTGTAAAAAACAGGGCAATTATTCTTTTCCTTTACACCCTGTTTAAGCCTGCATTTTTGGAATAGTAAATTGATGAAAAATATGTGGTTAAAAAGTAAGATAAAATTTTGAATTTACATGTAATATTATTTTATTAAAAAATGTATGGTTGAAAAAAAAAATGAAAATTAAACCAGGCTTAATATCTATAGCAAAATTTGTCTTCAACCTAAAACATCAAACTTTGCAATTTCCAATTCTCAGCTTTTAGTGCTATCCGCATTGTTTGTCCTTTTTACGTAATTCAACCAACTCTTTTTTATTTTTTTATTTTTACCCATCGTCAAAGTTATTACTCAAAATTTTTGCCTCCGCCGTTGTTTATATCAACCATCTAATATTATTAACATCCCTCTCTACTTAGAATTTCCAAGACAAAGATTGGGGAATTTTTCTAGTTGTACATTGGGAGTACCGAAAAAATTGTGAGGCCCCCTCTTGTGAGGGAATCGGTACACTATAGTGTCAACCTTGACGTACATGTAGACAAGCCCAAGATTTGGAAAGGGCTAGAGGGGTCTACTGTACGAATGTAAATTTAGTTCGTCGATTTTGATGGCATGTGGCTCAGTTAGGAAAAGCCCGAATCAGCCCAACTCATAGAAATCGAGTTGAGGCTCGACCATTCGGGTTGAGCCAACCCGTAACAAGCCAAGCCTCAGAAAAAAACTGCTTACAAAATTTTAATAATAAAAAAATGAAATGAAAAAGGCTGCATTAAAGCAGCTAACATAGCTGTATTGAGGTAGCTACATCTAACAGGCGGCAGTAGCTTCTTTATAGCAGACGTAAATTTGAAAAGCCACATTTAAAAAAAAAAAAAAAAAATACATTCTTAAATAATAATTTAACATTATTTTAATAATACATTTTTAATAAAATAATATTACACGTAAATACAAAATTATTCTTTATTTTTTAACCACACATTTTTCATCAATGCATTATTCAAAAATGTATTCTTAGGAATATAAATGTGGCTCAAACAAGGGCTAAAATTGAATTTTAAATTTAGTTGAAACGATTATATTTTTTACTATAAATACGGGTTAAATTTTTGAGTTTCATATCAATCTACATTGATCGTAACCGGTCCCAAACCCGAAAAAATAACAAGGGTTGTAACTATTATTTAATTTATAATTAGTATAAATTGCACAAGTTTTAAATTCTTTAAAAAAATTTAGAAATGTCATGAGTTAAAAAAAAAAAAAAAGGCCAGCTTGGCTAGACTCGGCTTGCTAAAGCACGAGTCAAAAGCTCGGGTTGAGCCTAAATTTTTTGGCTGAGCAAAAGCTTGGCTCGGGCCAAAAAAAATTTAAACCATTTTTACTCGAGTTTCGACTCATTTAAATCCCTAGTCTATTGTGTTTTAGAGAAGACAATAACATTTGTTTTATATTTGGATATCTTATTTATTTAAGGACATTTTTTTTTTTTCATATTTATGCTCTCTGATGATTCATTTGACAGAGAAGTAACGAAACAATAAAGTGAAAAAAAATAATTTAGTGAAAAGCAAGGAAGAGCAAAGATCAAAGAGGGTGTGTGGAACAGTGCAAATATTTTTGTCAATGTTGTGGTAGTTAGTTGGGATTAAATATTTTAATTGCTATTACATTTTCTTGAATGTTTTGAATTATTACTAATGGTATAATTTATTATTGCTGGAAAATGATTTATTATTAGTGAAATGGGTCAACTTTGAACCCAAATTGCAGTAGGACTAGTACTTTAATTTTAACGGGACCAATCATATTTACGTTTTATTCCTCGTGATGATCAACATGATTATTTATTTATTGAAAATTATTTAGAATTGAATGAAATATTTGACGTCAAATTAATCCACTTGAGACTATAAAGTATAAACTAGTGAAGAACTTGATTTATTGAAAATTGCTAAATATTTATCCCATATGGAAACTTTGGGTATGGTTGTAGTGGAAATTTGGGAAATGGGTTTGGACCTGATGGATACAGTACCAAGTCTTTGGAAGGGGAGACTTATATCATATCAAGTTCGGTCTTAAGTCTACACGTGCGTGCTGTTGCTGTCCGTTTGGTCGGCTTGGCTGGCTCAGCACGGCACGTGCCGTGCTGAGTCCAATTCCGTTCGGGTGCAGGTGAGTCCTTGTATTATATTTACCTTTTAGACAAAACTTATTTAAATTATTTAGGCCAAATTGTAATTAATCAAATTTTTGGGTACTTAATGAAATTAATTTTGATTGACTTATTTTTCAGGTAATTTTTTGATCTAAATGGTTTGTGAATCAATGTAACAGTTGTCTGTTAACCGACATAACAGATGTAGTACTGAATAATGTTGTCTGTTCTAGTTTGGAAGCTATCTGAACAGTGATGATTGTTCTAAAAGGGCTTGAATGATGTTTGAATAGCCACGAACAAGTCTATAAATAGTTTGCCCCACTGCTAGAATAATTACACTATTGTCATTGCAAACGTTATCTGCTTTAAATAGCATTCTCCATCTCTCTTTGATTATGATATTTGTTCTTGAAATGAAAAACATTTTATTGAGTTCGTTGGAACTCTTGCAGATTACTGTGTTGCTTTCGTATGAGACGAAATTCGTTCTATCCTGAGAAACAATTGTTGAACACATTTAGCACCTATGAAAGCAGCAAATTCGTTTTAAAGAAACATTGTGACGACGATAGGCTCGAATTAACATTCTGATCCTGTTGATCATCTCATTACACTATGCAGGTTACAATATGATAATTTTGTCATGGGGGTCGGACCCATGTGATGATGTCTCTCAGCTGAAGGCTATTAAAGTTCCACACCATTGGAATATCATTATTATCAGATTGTTCAAAGGAGAAACTTATACTCCAGATAAACAATCTTAAAATGAATCTGATTTTATTCTGGTTTATTATGTTTCACCCATTCTTAATGTTTATTTTGTGGTAGTGTTTCAGGAATAGCAACTTCTGGTACTACACTCCCTAATACGAGCAAAGAAAAAAAAGAGAAATTTAATGGGTCAAATTTTAAACGTTACTAACAGAAAATACTTTTTTATCTGACAACATTAAGTTTGACAAAATTTCTAAAAGAAGATGTACCTCCATACACAAAGAGAAAGTAATGTTGAGAAACTGACTGCCGTTGATACTCGAAAGCATTCGAATTTTCTATTTAGAAATTATGTACTAAGCGGATTGGACAATGCATTATATAATATGTATTGCAATGCTAAGTCTACAAAAGAATTGTGGGAATCTTTGCACACCAAGTACAAAACCAAAGATGCCGATACGAAGAAATTCATTTTCGATCATTTTTTTTGGATTACAAAATAGTTGACGGCAAGAATGTCATATCCTAAATTTAAGAACTTCAACTCATACTCAGTGATATCAATACTGAAGGAATGAAACAAGGTGAATCATTTCAGGTTACTACGTTAATTGAGAAATTGCCACATTCCTAAAAGGACTTTCAAAATTATCTAAAGTACTTCGGAAGAAAATGAAATTTGAAGATATCATTGTCCAGTTGAGAACAAAGGAAGACAATTGCAAAGCTAAATAGAGGATTGATGCATATCTTTCGATGGAATCAAATGTCACCATTTGTGGAAGGAGGTTTCAAGACTAGTGAAAAGGGGAAGTACAATGACGAATGGCAAACTGATTCTTCAAAGACTCCTAAAAAGTTCAAATGCAACCGTTACAATTGTGAAAGGCCATACGTCGTTCCAAGGACTGTCGAAAGCCAAAGAATGTTAAGGGAAAGGGTCTTTAGGCCAATGTAACAGAACATGACAACATTTCTTATAAGGTGCAAGATATAAATCTTTCTTGTGGATGTTTTCGAATGTAACTTAGTTGGAAACACTAAGGAATGGTGGGGCAGATACAGGAGCTACTCGTCACATTTGCTAAAATCGCTGGATTTTTTTACCTACAAAGTGATGGATCATGATGAGCAACTCTACATGGGAAACTTTTCATTTTCTAAAGTTGAAAAATATGAAAAGATAGTGCTGAAAATGACAAGTGGAAAGTCGTATGACGTTCTTTATGTGTCCGATATTCGAAAAAATTTGGTATATGGTTTCCTATTAAGCAATAAGGGCTTAAGTTAGTATTTGTTTGGAACAAATTTATAATTCCAAAAAATGATATGTTTGTAGGAAATGGCTACCTAAATGAGAGGTTTTTTAGTTTAGTGTAATGACTGTTGTACCTCTAACTATGAATAAAATTATATCTTCTTCTTACTTGCTTGAATTGTTTAATATTTGGCATTAATGATTAAGATGTGTAAATTATAATACTCTGCGTATATTAATTGATAAGTGTATTTTATACACTTATTCGAGGTCTTAAAACGATAATATTTAGTGTTTATCTGATAAATTATGGTCTAAATTGTTGCAATTGATATT